AGTGCATTTGTATTCGATTATGTTACAAGAAAAAAAAAGAGATCGATTAACATTTAGTGATCATACATATATACATATATATATGAATTTTTAGTAAACTTGTATCAACGAATAATGGTTTTGAAGTGAATAAATTCATATTAACGCTTCTCTAGATTGTAAACTAACTGAAATAAATTTGTGATGACCATTTGTACTCTAAAATGTTTTTTCGAACATTAAACATTTGGTAATTGTACGATTACAATTTATGAAATATATTGAATTTATTGGTACGTGTCGGTATTCAAATCTGTTATCCCTGTTCAGATTACGGAATTTATTTACTACGCTTCTAATTACGGCGAAAACTTTCTCATAAAGCATAAAAAAAATAAATAAAAAAACTTAAAAAGCCCCCCCCTGCTCAGATTTAAGAAAGTTTACAGATCTCATTAGACGCTAATGATTAGAGCGTCATTTAAACATAGATTACCGAGCCGATGATTTCAATGATTAAATTTCTTTGATCAACGATTGGCAATTAATTTCATAAATCAGACGAAACAATCCCAGATTCGTTACGATAAAAATAATAATACAGCAGAGATTCTCTTATCCGAAGGTTCATCTTATTATCGTTCTATTATCTAAAAATTTTATTCAAACTCTCTGCTAGACGATAATGTATCTAAATAATATGATTACGTAACGGAACGTTTGTATACCAGAATATTCTAAAAATAAATGTCCGAATAAGGGAGTCTCGACTGTACAATATATCATATCTCTGTAAGACATATTTTAAAAATACTATCTCCACCGTTTAAATGTCAGCACCGATAACATCTACGGTTCTTGAATTTAGTCACGAATAGCAGGAACCGAATATACAGTACATTGTATACCAGCGTTGGTAAGCGGTGGTCTGGAATGTGCTGCGGCGTAGTGGAGGGGAGACCTCGCGAAGGGAATTGGTCGATGTCAATAGATTCCAACGATAATTTTCAAATAACAGTGCTGCGCCAGAGCGTGCTTCTATTTCGGAAGTTCAAATTTTCGGTCGGAAAAATTTAGCATCGAACGTTAGCGTTCCTCCTGTACCTATTAAGAAACACCATAAAATCTTCTCATTAATCGCATTGCTTTTGCACAGGCTTCGAAATGAAACGAACTAAAAAATTCGACGAATGTACGCATTAACTGGTAGAATTCCGCCGACGTTACGCATCGTCAACATACTTTCTCATGCAAAAACGCAACCCTGTATCATTCGCGGGACACATAACCCTGCGAGCCTCGTTTGCTGCGTCGGTAACGTAGAGAGCGACAACGAAACGGTAAACCTTCTGTTTTGAATCCCGCGTCTTAACCTTTCAGCCGTCGAACATTCCACTCTCGATCATTAATTTCATTTCCAGGAAAAGGAAATCATTTTCAAGACTTATTCGACACGGACGTTCTTGTGGATGTATCGTTGGCAGGTAAAGTCATGCGTCGCGGTTTCGACCACGTGCGCCCCGAATTTCACAAAAGTTTGTTTGATCGATAGCGGAGAATATTTCCTCACAATCATCAGCGAAGCTGAATCTCGTCGCTGCAACATTTCTTAGATTCTCTGGAATCCGGTAGGAACAGGATGCTCGCTGGCAGAAGGTACGTGACGTTTCACATAACCCTTTATTATTATCATTTGTTAACATTCGCGGCTCTGCCGTCAGGTGGGAATATCCGATCCCAAAATCGAAGGAGTACTGGTCGAAGTTCTGCAGGGATGAAGAGAGGAGGCTGATCGTAGTAAGGGATCCTTCCGTTCGGTTAACCTACCATTCTTTCCCCGGATATCGTTCTTCCAAAATCCGCGGCTCTTCAGGTTCCGAGAACTCTTTGCACGAACTCTCGCGCATAAAATCAACGTCTCGCTCAACCAAGTTATTACAGATCGGCGAAGAATCGTTGCCGAGATCGATCTTGAAGTCGGCCGAACGAAAATTAGATGCCTCGCGATTCGACCTTGACCTCGCCGACAAAGAGAACTATGCTCTAGGTTATCTCGGCGCGCGAAATAAACCGGAAGCGCGTTCTACGACGCTTCCAGCACTGAGCGCGTCGGCGCGCGAGCCGAAACCGTCAAGGTCAAACCGTGCAGAATCGTCAGAAAAGAAGCTGCTTCCGAAACTAAAGTCTTCGTGTTCCAGGCACGATCTACCATCTCCACGAACGGCGAGAATCTCCGAGGACTCGTTGAAATATTCGACTCGGCGCGCTTACAAAGCGCTAAGGCACGTGACGGCGAACAAGAGATTGAACTTCGACCCTGAAACGGTTCTCCAGTCGACGAAGGACCCGTCGCGGATCGAGGAGGCGAAAGGTGAATCGTCCGACCGCGCCGACGAAGGAAAACCCGAGGAATTTCCACGGCGAGAAGAGTCGCCGAAGGATTCGCAGTTCGCCGTCGCTCGGCGCGGAGTTTCGAGATTGTTTGCGACGTCGCCGACGATTCCCTCGGGCTCGCGTTCCACGTCAGGCCCGAGTCCCCGCTTCGCGCAGCTCGAGCCGCTGCGGAATCCTTCGGGCCGCGTCCTCTCGTCGATCCCGGAGCTCTCCAACTTCCCGCGCGGACACCGCGACAAGTGTCTGCCGTGCATCTACAAGTCGTTCGAAGCGCGATCGAGCCGGAGGACGTCTTTCCCGGTGACGACCTTGCACAGGATCATAAATTCTAAGCGCGTCGTTTCGCCCAGCGACGGGTCCGAGAGCAGCGGCACAATTTGTTTGCCGGACTTCGAGGAGACGCTGGAGAGAATGTTCGCTGGCGACGTTAAAAAGGTGTCTTTTCGCGTGCCGAGCGACCTCCGAGCGGAGGAAGCTCCGTTGCCGCAAGAACGCCTCGAAGAAGCGTCGACGGAAGAAAGCGCGCCGCACTCGGAGCGTTCTTGCGACGCGGTTACGCGAAAAGACAACGAACAGGACCGCGGCGGAGCGTCGATTTCCGCGGGAAAGAGTCCGAAAGAAGCGGCGAAGTTCGAACGAGCAGCGACGCTGGAACGATCGAAGCTCTCCGCGTCGTTTCGCAGCGACAGCACTGAGGACGAGGACTCCCAGCCGGCATCGATCGACGAGGATCAGTCAAGGCCGAAGTACTTGGCTCCCTGCCACGCGGCGACCGTTTTGAAACCCAGCTTGGAGCCTCTCAGAGCCCTGAGGAACCGGAAAGCGACGACGCTGCAGGACCGAATCGCTTTCCTCGAGTCGTCGTCGAAGAAGAACTGGTCCCTCGACGACGAGGCCCAGGAAAAACAGCCGAAATCCGGCAAACCCGAGGAGATCGAAGCGGAAAAGAGCGACCCGGTCGTTAAACACTTGAAGAAAGCGAAATCCGTGCCGGAGAATCTGATCCTGGAGAACGTGGAGCGCGCTAAGAAGGATCATGTTTTGCGAAAGGGACTCACCGTCGCCGGTCTCGCGCTTCTAAAAGACGCCAGCGGCGAGCAAGCTTGTGCCGATGAAACGGAGGACGAAGCAAGGCTAGACGATTCCGCGGAAACGATCGGCGAGGTCTCGGCGCCGAGGCTGCCGCTCACCGACACGGCGGAGGTGATGCAGATTTTACAGGGCCTCGAAGAGGAGACGCCGGCCGCGAGCATGCTGGAGACGTTAAGCAAAGAGTTCTCGGAACGCGTTTGGAACGCCTCGTATGATAACTCGGTGGTCGCCGAGAAGACCAAGAAGCTGATAGGAACGTTGACGAGCTTGTTGGTAGACTCTAAGCGTTACTTGGACACTAGGAGATTCCCCTCTGACCTGTCCTTCTCCTCGAATCAGCCGCCGCCGTGCAACCCCCAGCTCCTGAAACGAATCCTGCCCGAAAAGTCTTACAATCTCGTCGCGCCTTTGCTGGGATTACCGGTCTCGCATCCGCCGAAAAGGACCTCGTTCAGGCCGAGCGACGACGTTATCGATCCTAGAAGTGTCGGCAAGTCGACGGTGGACAACGGCGACCATAGTTTAGCTTCCTTCGAGGCAGGTTTGATTTGTAAATCGTTCTGACTGGCGAAAAGTAACGGAAAGTACAGTAATGTCTCTCTAATTGACGCCCGGATTGCGCAGAAAAATGGACAATTTGGGAAGGAGGAAATACTATTATTTGAGCCTCGCGGTTTACTTTTATATACATTATAAATTGTTCACAATTATAAAAACGAGCCGNTCCGATACGATCCGACGCGATTAAAGCCAGGCCCCGACGCACGCTTCGCGAAATATTATACGTCCCGCAGGAAACGGGCTGGCTCTTCGAGGAACGGCCAACGGCCAACCGCCAATGGCCGTTTCCATTCTGCCGTCGTTCTCGTCGACTGCAACGACCGTGCACGCAGTCCCCCCTTCCCCCTCTTCTTGACCCATTCTCAAGTTTTATCTTTCGAAATCGACGCTGGAGAAATTCGTACGTAAAGAAGCTTCAAAAAAAAATAACAGTTTGTAATCGACGAGTGGATATCACGATTTTGAACGGGTACAGTAATGTCTCTCTAATTGACGCCCGGATTGCGCAGAAAAATGGACAATTTGGGAAGGAGGAAATACTATTATTTGAGCCTCGCGGTTTACTTTTATATACATTATAAATTGTTCACAATTATAAAAACGAGCCGCAAGCCAGCCGAGACATTACTGTATACCGTTTCTTTTTCTTTTTTTTATGGTATCGCCGCTCGCATTGTTTGCAGTTTTTAGCGAGTTGCTTCCGGTTTAATGTCTCCTTTCAAACAAGCTTCTTTTTCTTTTTATAATTAACAAGGTGCATCCGGCGTCCTCGGGAGACTGCGAATCGCTCGATGGCGAGGAGAAACTGGGTCGCCGCGGATACAATCCTTACGCTCTATTTCGAAGGAAGCCGAGACGCAAGGTGCCGTATCGCGACGGATTAATATGTAGGAAGGAGATGAGAGGAGAAGAGACGATCCTTTTTTCTGTGATGATTATTCAGGTGATCACGTGGCGGCCTTTGCTGCCGGACGACCTCGAGGGCTACGATCCGAACGCCACCCTTAAAATGAGGACCGATAATATTATGTCAGAGATATGCCGTGACTTTTGCCAGTGGCTGAACACGCTGACCGGCGCGGAGAAAACCGTCGACGAACAGGTCCTGAAGGACATGTTCGAGGTTGATTTCAACGCGGAGGCGTGCAGGGCGATGCAGGTGAAGACCAGTTGCTTGCTGCGGCGCGTTGTTTCGTCTTCGATATTTATTTTAGATGTTTTTATAGAATTAGAATTTCATTCGCTGCTGTTTTTTTTTGTTTTGGATTGTTACCTTGTCCGCGCTTCGTTAATCAGAATCGAGGAACAATTTTGTATCGTCAAGAGCAGCCGCGAATGAAACGTGAAATGTATTCGTTTCGATTACACTGTCCGACACGATTTTTGATTTCTTCGATTTGATTTCACTGTGAAATTCTTTTAGAGCTTCGCTCACCGATCAAGGATACGAAAACCGAATTGCTCCATCAGCCTCGGTTTCCGTAAAAAACGAGCTTTTGTAAAGACTCAAAATTTTCGACGAAAATTAGGTATTGCATGGAAAGTAAGAACGTTATAAAGCTCTGATCGGTGTTAAAAGATAGAGGATAGTTTGTCAAGGTTATGTCAAGGTTATGTCAAGGTTATTAATGTCAAAGTTTGAATTAATTGTCGACGCGCGCAGATTTTAAGCAATATTTTTGTACTTCAACGAGAAGTTGTTTGTCCTGCACGAAAACTTAACACAGTATCGGATTCTGTAGAGATTTCTGAAGAAGATAAGGCCCGATGGAAGTGTCGAAACGATGCACATTTCGAGCAGATCGAGAAAATGTTCATCGGCAACGCGTGCACGACGTTTTGCCGTCATTTGCTTCGCTGCTCGCTTCTCTCGAATCGGCAGGGCCGAAGCTATGCGTAATCGACACCGATGGAGGGATCCAATGGGACACCCACTTTTCGTAAATAATATTTGAATTTTTTTTAGTTCTTCAATGCTCTGCTTTTTCTTTTTTTTAACATATTTTTATTACATCTGTATCGTGTATTATTATTATTATATGTATTATTAGATCTGTGTATGTATTGTTTATTACACATATTAATATCAATAATATAATAATAATTATTAATATATAATATTATTTAATAATATTAATTAATTTAATAATATATAATAATAATAACTATTATTAATATAATTATTATTATAATAATATTATTAATATAATAATTATTAATATTATATAATAATTATAATAATCACCAAACTGATATATTTCGCGAAAAAAATCACACCAGAAGTATTCGCCGTATTTGCAGTAACGAAAATGTTCGAACACTAGCATAATTTTCACTCCTACGCCGTATAATATAATAATGTTTTTCTTATGTAGAAAAAGACAGTACATTGAAGTACTAAAAAAGGGTGCCCCAATGGGCGCCCTTCCAATTGCATCGGTGTTGATTACGCATAGTTTCGGCCCTGTCGGACAGAGAGCCGAATAAAGAACTTTTCGTAAAACATACAAAAATATCGCGGAGAAACTGCACTCGTCGACACTTTTCTTAAATCTTTTCACATTAATTTACAGTTATTTAGAACCAAAAACAATGAATAAAGTTGTACGTCACTGTATTCGGAAAACTTTCCTCTTTCCTTCGAGACCGATTAGAATTTTCTAACCTCTAAACTTTCTGCACCTCATTATCGTCGAAAATTTTGGATTTTTACAAAAGTTCGTTTTTCTTTCAAAAACTGAGAATTTAAGTATTCCAGTTTCTTGTCCAGGGAGTGATGCTCTTCAGGAATTTCATAGTGGCTGTAGGAAATCAGAAAAGAAGTTTGATTTTGTCGAACAGTGTTATTGCGAATAATCGTTTCGCACGACCACTTTATCTCTCTGAGTTGTTTTGATTAAATTTTATTATTTAAAAACTTAGTGTTTTATTAAATTTTATTATTTAAAAATCTGGTTTTTTTAACCAGGTGTTGACTCGAGAGATGCCGGTCGTGTCGGCCGAGGTAGCTCGGACAAGGAACACCCTAGGCGCCAGCAAGCTGTCCATGACGAAGAAGCAGGTGCTGAAAGACGCTCGGGCGGAGAAAAGAGCCCCGAAGATGACCGCTTTCGGGACCACGATACCCTGGCATCTGCAGTTCACGCCGCCGAAAAATCGTGTCCGCGAGAACTGGCTCGATTGCCGTCACGTTCCCACGGACTTAGAAACTATGGACGTGGTTTGGAAGGGCATCACGAATTTGAAAAGCGTGCGGGGCTTCGTCGAATGGCTTCAGCAACACCCGGAGGTAATTCGAACGTCAATTACCAATGGAAATACGACAAGGCTATCGTGTTGTGGCATTGAGTTTCAAATATGCCGGATTCGGTATCCATTGTGGAACGGAGCTAACGATTCGGCTCGGATGCGCGGTGATAAAGGCGTTAAGAAATTGTGCTGCTGGATGGATCCTCGATCGATGGATAGAATCGTGGGGAAACGAAGCGCGATCGTTATCAAATTTATTCGAACGAATAAAAATATGTTGAGGTTATTTTTAGCAACCGCTCGGCGTAATTGTTTCGGAATTGGTATTTGAATAGAGCGGCGAACGCGTTGGCGATAGCACATAATTAACGTTTGTTTGGTTAGTTTATTAATTAGTTGGTTTATTAGTTTAGTTAGTTTATTTAAGTTAGTTATTTAGTTCAGTTAGTTCAATAATTAGTTGGTTTATTAGTTTAGTTAGTTTATTAAAGTCAGTTATTTAGTTCAGTTAGTTTATTAATAAGTGAGTTTATTAGTTTAGCTAGTTTATTTAAGTTAGTTAGTTTATTAGTTTAGTTAGTTTATTAATTAGTTAGTTTATTAGTTTAGTTAGTTTATTTAAGTTAGTTATTTAGTTTAGTTAGTTTATTCATAAGTTACTTTATTAGTTTAGTTAATTTATTTAAGTTAGTTTATTAGTTTAGTTAGTTTATTTAAGTTAGTTATTTAGTTTAGTTAGTTTATTTAAGTTAGTTATTTAGTTTAGTTAGTTTATT